CAGGATATGCAATCGATTGTTTTACGGCAAAATCCTAATGAACATAGAAACAAGAAAAGTGATTGGCTACTGGAGATGTCAAAATTAACCAATCAGAGAGGGAGTTCAAGATCATTGAGCTTTACCATTGGGCGGTAAGAACCAATCAGCATCAGCTCAGATGGTACGTACGGGTAGCTAACACAGTATCCCGTACAGTATAGAAGGTACCCTATCGTGAATGGCCAATTCATTTTCATTTACCAATCAGCAGCTACCATTTGAAGGGCACGCATGGGAAAGCGAATGTAAGATTTTTTGGTGTTTTTAAGCATGAAAAATCAATAAAAGTTCCCCTCTTAATGAACTGAAGATATCCGATGAATTCAAATGGGCTTATTCTGTCTAACTGAAGAACTTAAAAACTCTATTTGGCCAAATTGAAGGAAATGCTGTTGTTCGCGTCCGAAATTCCTTAGTACGCGCTAAACGACTACCTGGCTGGGGATAATTTACGGTCTGAAAGCACCAAGACTTCACGATGAAAACAGTTTTCACGTAATTTGTGGGACGATAGTGCCCATGCTTATTTTAAAAAATACTAAAGCGTTGCCGGACTCTCTGAATCTAGCGTAAAATGAAGCGGGCCTCCTTGGAAGGTGATACGGACCCCTCCATGCGTGCCCTTCAAATGGTAGCTGCTGATTGGTAAATGAAAATGAATTGGCCATTCACGATAGGGTACCTTCTATACTGTACGGGATACTGTGTAAGCTACCCGTACGTACCGTCTGAGCTGATGCTGATTGGTTCTTACCGCCCAATGGTAAAGCTCAATGATCTTGAACTCCCTCTCTGATTGGTTAATTTTGACATCTCCAGTAGCCAATCACTTTTCTTGTTTCTATGTTCATTAGGATTTTGCCGTAAAACAATCGATTGCATATCCTGATTGGCTAGTGTTTTTTCAAATTAACCAATCAGTTATCAGCTGCAATTTTGTTGTCGCCGTTCTTATGCCTTTATGTTTTCAACTGCTAGAGGTCGCTTTTAAATAACCAATGTAAAATCCTATTGTAGATTTTCTTACACTGCAATGATGTCGTATTCCGATAGACGACGCTTTTGTCACGCAGCAGAGATGAAGTTCAACAACGGCGACGATTGGGTTGCTCTGACCTTCAATGGATGGACAGAAACAGGGAGTTGTTGCTCAATAAAGGTATTTTAGGTTAAATTGTATCGTCTGTGTAGTTTGTAGACTTTCTAGATGTCAAATGTAACGTAGGACAAGCGCCACACAACGTACTGTTAAACGCCGTAAACTCGCCCCAAGTTCGAAGGGCTAGCGCCATGTTGACCCGCCGAAGCAACGCCACTGTGTAGGACATTTTGTCAGTTCTCACTCTCTGGAACAAGAAAACACGACAAGCAGGGCAAATGTTGGGTAGCTTAGGCAGCTACAGACATATTCTGTGCAAAGTCTTTGCATGTAGCGGCGCCATTAGCCGAATCCGAGGCCAACCCGTTACCGAGTCGGGGGCGGGATTTCCTCGGGGCTAGTGGCGGGGTCTCCGTATGAATTCCCGTTAACTGTTACCAACAAAAGGGTTTCTCCAGTATTGAAGACGCTATCCAATCATTTAAAGAAATTCATTTTTTCTTTAGAAAAAAAAAAAGCAATTGCAAGAAGAGTTCCACGACCTCATTAGCCTGGAGTCCAGCCTTGTTCGCTTTAGGCTCACTTAGACTGGGAATGACTATAGATGTCACTGCGAAGGCATCTGTGACAAGGCTGAAAGACTCAAACCTCAGAAGCCCAGAAACTGTAACCAGAACCAGAGCAACAGGGGCACAAACAGAGGACTAGTTGTTCTGCCTTACATGAAAGGCCTGAGTGAAGGGCTCAGGATTTTTGCCACACACTGGATCAAGACCTGTTTTTATATAGATCAACTAGAACACTCCAGAATATCCAAGGACAAAACACCAAAGAAAGTGTAAGCTCAAACACTAGAAAGTGTAAGCTCAAACCTTGCATAAGTAGTGAAAGCCAAATGAGATGCATGTAACAGCAGGGCTGCTTTATTCAATCTCAACAAATTAAAGGCCTTTAAAAAATTCTACACCCAACAAGTACTTCATATTGACGTGTTATTTTATTGTATGACACACACACCATATCATAGTAATGATATAATTCTTTGCAGACTACGATCAAGGGTTGGACCAGGAAGGCTGGTTTGTGTGTGAGAGTGTGTGTGTGATTTGTTAAGAAGAAAATCATGATCTGAAATGAAATTTTGCATCAATGGAATACATTCCTATATTTCAGAAACTCAATTTGACAACCCTAACCCTATGTCAGAATGCAGGGGTGTTGGAATAGCCTGGGTACCATCCGGATTTTCACTCTGCCACGCTCGATTTTTTCGAGCGTGGCGGAGCGAAAATCCGGATGGTACCCAGGCTAGTATTGGAACACATAGGGGCATCACAACATAGGGCCATCTCCCTCCCTATATGATCCCTTCCTGGTTCAGCATTAAATGATGCTCCTGATATTTATATACAAATACATGTAATTACAAATCTGTACACAGCATCGAAAACCTTTTCTACCTCAGCATATATACTAGTACTTCAAGGATAATACATAATATTGAGAACAAAAACTTTAAAACTTCACCATAGCAGTGAGTCAGTGACTCTATTATTGTACTGATTATCCAACAAATTCAATATTGTCTTCAGTACAACTCATATGAGAATTCGTAGCCCTATTCCTCAGTTATTGCACTCACAGTATACTCTATACAACTACATGCAGCATTCCAACGCATGTACATGTAATTAGATACATGCTTTAATATCATCAATACCCAGTTGAAAAAAAGGGAAAATTGGTGCAATGAACAATGACATACCGGTACTTACTCTGCCATACAAACCTCAGTACAACATCTAGTACATGTAATATCAAAGCAGGTACGGTGGGCCAAATGGTATATTCTAGTTTACCAAGGGATTGATAAAAAAACAGTAATGGAAACCCTGGTCCCACTATCATCAGAAGGGTTGAATTTTGGTATTGCCACTCTATACTAGTATTTCAAACATGTCCAAAAGGACCTGACTGGAAAGGAAATTATCTTACATTTAATCAATCATTTTACTAAGAGATATGTATAAAGAATGAGGTTGTATGCAAAACTAGAAATAAGGAGAAGAAAAGTACCAATACCGTTATACACTCTTCCTGTTTCTTCATTGCTAACTCATAATACTGACAGAAAAGCAAAATTGAGGTATTCTTTTCAGCAGCTAAAGTTTCATATACCTGTATTTCACACAATACACAATTAAAATATTGTACTATTGACTGACAAAGCAAATTTTTAGGAGTTCAGAGTGGCTTCCATGATACCATTGCACATTCTACATTCTACCCTTGCTACTGTAATACCTCTACAATTACATACTACAGTACAAAATCTCTGGACAATCCTAGCAAGGCCTCTTTTGGCGTCACACATTCGGAAGGGCATTTTTTCCAGAACACATCTTACAGGAGACTGGATAAGACTTCCCCTCATTTTATTTAGCAATTCATTAGCCAGCATTTTGTTCTCCCATGGAACAAAAGTGCATGTATATCAAGATGACACCCACAATTAAGTTTGCAACAAATTCCAACAGGATGGTAACTTGCCAAAGCTGTCCTACATCCGTATTTCCATCTTTGTGACAGACAGAAAGTTCCAAATAATCAGTCACCAATTTAAAAGACTGTTCACAACAGAAGCGTAATGCTGGTATATCCCAGTCATAACACTTTGTGATTTGAGCTGCTTGAATCCACAGATGACCAACAACCAGACTTTTATGTATTGAATACAGACTCATTGACATGTTATAAATAGAGGGGCAGTCTAACACCAGGAGAAGAAGGGTCTTCGCTCCTGGAAGCTCTGAGTGAAGGTGTCTCCGATTGTCTTGACTCTCTCTGCAAACGGCCCGCTTCCAGGCTTGCCTCTCTCCACGATGACCAGCGGCATTTGGACCAGCTGCAGTGGACTCTTCCCGTCACGCAGGGCCTGCGTCAAGTTCAAAATCTAGGGCAGGAAAAAATGTGGAATATTGTAACATGCAAGTTATGATAAAATGATGAGAACCTTCTTTTAAAAATTTCATTTCAACACTCATGTTCTCAAGTTTGACAGAAGAGAGCTTACCTGTCCTCTCATGACAGACATCTGCTTCTCAAACTTACTCTTGTCAAAACCCTTGTCTTTCTGTGATGGAAAAAGAAATTCACTTGGTTATACAATGTAGAAATTGATTGACACAATTTTTCCTAGTTCTGCTGCATCTACTTGGAAGTTTTATTTTCTTGAATTGAAAAAAATGAAAGCTAGCAAGCGTGAAGTATTACATACATGTACTAATACATGTAGCTAGAACAAAGTGACATAGACAGCTTTATAACAGCTCTTATCACAAAGTTATATCGGAAGTTTTATCATCCATGGTGTTGCACTACAGCCCAATTCTGCTAGGGGTCCTTCCTACCCTGAACAGCTCATACAGGTCCTCGCACAGCTCCTGTACAAAGTTCATGTCTGACAGCTGAGGGAGGATCAGGTCTTTGATCTCTGTTGAGAAGGGAATCTTGGCCTGTGGCAGCCATGCCCAGTAGTACGGGTCTGTAAGAAAACATTTCAGTCTTTACTGCAATGTTCATACAGTATTACTGGTATATTCATTGCCCTGAAAGTTGGAACATTTAAACTCACAATACGTTAAATATTCTCAACAGACAGTCTGAAGCACAGTTAGCATATAGTAATAAAACTATTGCGTTAAAAGTATTGAATAAATACAGAAATATAAAAGCTAGCACATGATAAGGGTATGAGATAATTCATCATGCTTTATTTGTCTTACGTACATGCCCTCCATGAGTCAGGGTGTTTGAAGGGGAAGGCCAGGCCGTTGTCAATAGCAGCAATCTTGATTTTGGGCTGTTCCACCATGGTCCAGTCTCGCTCCTATGAACCACAACATGATTATACATTATAAAACTAAGCGTGTGTAACACCATGATTATACTCTACAAATGTCTGAATGACTCTTACTAGATAAGCAAACCTTTGACAGAGAAACTGCATACAAGGATTCACCATTAATACAAATGTAAAATGATAAAAACATTTAAATGAAAACAAATGTTAGTCAAACTTACAGGAGTCTCAGGCTTTTCTCCTTCTTCTACATCATACTTGATCAGCCAGTTGTCATTTCCTCTGTCTGTAAACAAATAAACAAACAAACCCATTTTAACATGTAACATGTGTAATTTCTAAGAAATAGGTTCACAATTTGGGAATATGTTGAGAGAGTTGATTTTATTTATAAAGAAACTTGTACTTAAAAGTTAGAGACAGCTATTTTTCTGGCTCAACCCCACTCTCTATGAAGATCAATCGGCCCCCATTTTATCTTGGATTCTTCCATCAGTGCCAGCTCATTGCCTGGGTATTACCCACTTGTTGTAGCCCCTGGAGGTAAGGGGTATTGACAGCAGTGTGCATTTAACATTTGGGCCGTATCTGACAAGGCCTGGACGGTGGGACCCATTATATCTGGATGTAAGAGAGAGGCCTGGCAGAAGTAGCCATGTAACCTTGTGGCACAGTCACATTTGTAAGTCATTGTTGTGACAGAACTAACAGCCGACAAGGATCTAAGGCAGCTTTTCCATAATCATGACAGAGCTGAGTGCATGATAACCCCAAGAATAATATCACAGCAAGTAATACTTCTACAAAACCTACTACAGGTATAAAATCTGCTTTTTCTTCCCTTTTAATTAGGCCCCCTGGGATAATTCCATTGCCACCAAATACAACAAGCCCTTTGAATCACTTTTCCTCTAAAATAGACAAATCATGTGGTTTTATTGTGCTTGGTGGCTCTTCTCCCTTACTAGGTGTACTTTATCTGGAATTCCTTTTGGTAGAAAAGCTGTTAAGGTTTTACTCTGCAAGATTTTTTTTCGCTTTCTTTTTTACTGCAGATTAAATCTTTAGCCTCTCTAGTAGATCTAGTACTGCTATATAAATCTATTTTTGTCCGACTTTTGGGTCTGAGCAATAAAAGTCTTGATTAAATCAAATCTATTGCAGCCAATGACATCCTAAATGTAATAGCACTTTGCTGTAATCGATCTTCTGATGTTTGATCTGGTCATTATGCTCATGATTAGATATGGCGTGAGAATTCACATACAAAAGCTGCTATATCACTTCAAATATCAAACTAAAGGCAAAACACAGAATGTATCCATGCAATCCATTTCACTAACATACAGAGGGAACAGTATGAAATGTGACATTTCTACAGATGCATCTCTCTCTTCATCAAGGACATCAGTTGCATCAAAGTTTTGGTATGGATAGACCACCTCCAAATATCCCTTTGGCTGCCAGCAACCTCAAAAAATGATGCAAACTTAAGACAATTGCTCTGAAATTAAGAAAATGTTCTTAAATTTCCGGTTACTCCTGGCATAGGTGATTGTATCTCTTCCACACCCAATACAGACCGTTAAGCCTGAACAAACATGACAAGGCAATATACCACAGGAAAATTACTTCTCACCTACATCAACCTGCTGCCTGACCCCTCAACCTTTCCAGTGACCTATGCATATTACCGCTCTGCCATGCTATTAGCAACATATCCCAGGAGTTAGGGTTAAAGTAAAAGAGTCAGTGGGTTTATCTATCAGAAATACTAAATTCCTTCTAGCAGGTAAAAATTTGGACTGATCATTAACCTGTGTCTAACAGAGGATGCACCTTTATGAAATGGCAGCAAAGGAAATACCATCCAAACTCAAACCCTAAGGAGGTACATTTGTAGATTTATGTGAGTTTTTGTCATAAGTGACAGGGTGCATGTAGGTTGTGATGATAAAAAAGTTTTGCTTGCAAGTACAATGTCAAGGCAGCTGCCATTTCTGCAGTGGATTGCCATATATTGAATAACAAACTTCTTCCCCAGGAAGGAAAAGGTATATGGACTTACAGAGCTGCTTTACATTTCATTCTGACAAGATAGGCCAACACTGGCATGTCCTCTGGCAAGAGAGAAATGCATCAAAGAAATGGATTTGAGTTACAGAGCTGCTTTACATTTCATTCTGACAAGTTAGGCCAACACTAGTATGTCCTGTGGCAAAAGGGAAATGCATCAAACAACCCTTTGCTGTTTCAAGTCTGGGTATATCAAAAAGTTTGCCCCTGGCAAACATGTGAATAAAAGTTCCATGTCATTTTGAACATGATGAAAATGGGTTTCTTGTGACGTTGATCTTGACAGCACTCTTTGGACCACCAGAAAAGGAGGACGGGATCACCAGTTTTTGTGAATATAGTTGCCTTGTATTTAAAATCGGGACTCTTTACATGTAGATAATGCTAATAAAGAGAATTACATAATTACAAGAAAATACCCTGGCACTAAATAATTATATGGAATTAAGTTTATAAACAGTATTATATAAAATATTTAGTCCTGTAATACCCATAATATTCACTTTTACAAGTCTAGTCAAGTCTAAATGGTTACCCAGCATGTGCAGCCTGGGAAGAAGTGAGTGGGTATGTGGAGGAATTCAGGAAGCCAGGGACTGTATGAGTGCGATCGTGCGACAGTGGTTTCTGTACTGGGTGATATTTCCAGGAGGTTTGAAATCTCTGATTTCTTGTTACTACTGAGTGATATATGGAGAAGCACATAGGGTCAAGGTGAAAGGAGATGCTCATTTGTCTATCTTAATCACATCAGCTTGTGCAGCAGAGTGTTGTTTTCACAACTCAGGCAATAGGTGCAGAATTTCAGTTATCACTGCTCTAAATTAAGCATTGGATGTACATGTACTAATGCTCCAATGTTTAAGGAAAATAGATGACTGACAGTGTCAAGATTCTGAGTTAATGTCAACAATGATATTATATTAACTGATTGTAGTAGTTTGCAAATTGTTTCCTATAGGGTTTAGAGTATTGTAACAATGTGGCTACCCCTATCCTGAACACAGTGACAGACGCGGAGTTGACACAGACCCACCAGAGGTCATTGCTAACATGTGGATGGGTCGACGGACAAAGAGCAGCTGGCTCTTTTTACAGAAATGAAGTGCGACCTGACATACTGTTCCATTCTGTACACCGCTAATAAATCCTTCACATGGCAATAGTTACCCGACTACGACAAGGGTCACTAATAAATTGGCACATCCATCAGAAGCAGGCAATTCCATAGCGCGCAGTCTGTCATGACGATAAGCCCCAGCCCTTCCGCTGGGATTTTCCTCACGGCCTCCACCCTCACACATCCAGACATGGACGATGCGCCGTGAATCCAAACCACCAATCAGATTTCATTGACAAACAATTGCCGGGGGAGTTTAAATCAGAAGTTCTGATGACACATGACCCCAATCAGGAGGGAGGTCAATGGGAAATTGACGAGCGACCGAAACACAATTAATTTGAGGGAAATTACTGCATAGTGACAAGCCCGCGGTGCAGCCGCCTGCATGATAATGAGAAAACTCCAGTCCCAGGGAGATGCTTACAGGAGACTTCAAAATCCTGTGTCACAGAAGCTTTCTCTACTGTCGGCAGTGGAGAGCTGAATATGTCAATGTGGATACTTCTGTGCATTTTTATTCCAGGAGTTTGAAGTGTGTAATTTGATTCTTCACGCCCAGAGATAGCCACCTATCATATTGTTTCACCATAACTCACACTTGTAAACGTACTTGCAACATAAAACCTTGCTTGAACAATTCACAACACTTATCGAAATGAGTTCAGGGGTCCTTCCCAGTGTGAGTGGATCAAACCTTAGTCTGGTCTCCAGGTTGACATGTTGAGAATGTGAAAGTTGCCTGTTATACATGTCAATCCTTCCACAGATGAGGTAAATTTGGTAAAAAAAAAACATGTTACTGAAGTGTGTAGAAGACCCACCTGTGTTTCTGATGATGTAGTCCAACACCACCAGTCTCTCAAACTGGAACTGGAACTGAGTACTGATGGGCTCGGGGAGGGGCTCTGTCTCAAACTTCCCTAGCCAGTAGTACGCATCTCTGTACCCATCCACGTACATCTGGAATGACCCCACCTACAAGCAAGGAGACAAGGAAACAGTCAAGTACATGTACATGTATAATATACAGGCTGTCTGGACAGAAAAGGAGTTTACCTACACTTTAATTTACATTCATAATGTGGCTTTCAGTAAAATGTGATTTGAATATAGAACTGGACTGAAATGATATAATGTAGTAGTTAATTATTGTCTTAAGAATAGAAATCTACCTGGGGGTGGTACAAATATACAAAATTTGCAGCATTTGAAAAAATACTAATGTATATTTGTCAACATCTCCCAATAGGTTTAATATTGTTGGGTTCTATGAAGACAATGGTCATGAAACACCCATGAAGTTCCACAGTGAGATTTAAATCCTGCTTGTGCTGCACCTCAGCTGACACAACCCATGCCATGACGGACCCTCCACCCATCACAGCCGCCGTGATAAAACGACCTGCTGACAGCTACAGAAATATGATGGGCTCCACAGATAAGCCAGTTCCAGTGGAGACCGGCAGCTGCCACGGCGGGACCTTAACGTGGCGGGGTAATGATGTATGTGGGAATAAGGCTGACTGACCCTGGCATTATGGTCCAGCCACGCGCAGGGCACCTAGATTCATGGGCCTACTCTTCCCATTTGTCAACTATTAGGTTAGTAACCCCTGCACAATTTATCAAGTGGCCAAAAGTTGTTTCAACACACAACATTTGATGGTATTTTTTGGAGTTTATCCGTGACAGACAACACTATAACAGCTTTATTTTTCAAAACACATGTACAATGCACTAGAAATCTTCAAAATTAATGTTTGTGGTGGTTTTATTTTTGCAGCAACCTCTTATCACAAAATCAAGACACCATGAATATGTGTATTGCATTTCTATTGTACTACAGAAATGTTTCAACTGCAAACTTCAAACAGCGCAAAAACCAAGGAGAATCTGTGTTGCTATCGGCCATTCTCTGGCCGCAAAGCTGGATTCCCTCTCACACAGACGCAATGTCGCATCTCTATCCCTCTTCTACAGATACTTTCACGGTCGATGTTCAGGAGAACTTGCACTTCTTGTTCCTCCACTCAGAACCTTTCAGCGTGCCACTAGGTTCTCTTCCAGTTCTCATCAATACACCGTTAACATACCTGTCTCCAAGTCATATTACAACAACAGCTTCTTTCCCCGGACTGCAAAATTATGGAACTCTCTTCCAAACAGCTGCTTTCCGTCCGATTACAATCTACAAAGCTTCAAAACAAAGGTCCACCGCCATCTCCTGACATAGCTACAATATACTCCCCTAAGTACCTCTAGCTCTATGCCTAGAAGTGGCCAAAATATAAATTGGCCTTGCATTGAGCGATACCGTTAAAAAAAAAAAAAA